GGCGGGATGGTTACTGTGAGGCATGCAGACCCGGCACCCCCTTTGGCCTATACTTACCTGTTCCAGAATACCGGGGTGGGGTGAACGGCCCAGTCCGAGTTTGGGACTGATAAATTGCTGCCAGCCACATCCATCAACCGACACCACGACCATACAAGCCTCATGACCCGCTCCTCAGACCGTCAGTAAATAATCTACAGCCAGTGGATAACGGTGGTAATCACTACTGTTATCAAAGCATATATGACTCTCTGCTTATCCAGCTTGTTTACTTATATCAGCGTAAAATTCTCTAGTTGAGGTTACACACCTGAATAGTCTATTGTTTTCATATGCTTGGTTATACATGATAAGCCAATTGTGGAGGGATGCTTACATGCCTCAACCTCATGCTACAGATAAAAAGCTCAATAGTAATAGCCTGTCTACCTGACTAGCAATGTATACCGGTATTGACCGTGAGCTATTAACTTAACCAACGCTCTGACCAAGCTTGTTTATAGCATAATTATATACTTACAGACAAAGCTACACTGTTAAACCTGCTTATGTTATTTATAAAATTGTGCATGATAATTAAATGCCCCGCATGTTACGCGAGGGAAACGCTTGAGGACTGCTTTTGGGGCACTTTGAGCTGGCATGTACCATTTCTATGCACTGCAAAATAATAATAATAAAAAAAAAAAAAAATATATATATATATATATATATATATAAAAAAAAGATAGACAAGGCTTACGCAAGTGATATTAACTGTGTAGTTTATAACAGAGAGCATAGCATAGCTGACAAGAGTAACAGGAGCCATCTCCACTGAATGCAGCCCAGACCTTGAGAGAGTCCCCCTGGCAGTTCATGCTCATCCAGCCTCCGATCTGCAAAATCTGTGGCATGGTAGGAGTGAGTCCAGCGTGTTCAATGGCATGAGGAGTGGGTGTTCTCCTAGTGTGAGATCCCTTTTTTCTGCTCGATCCTCTGCTGGGTGTAGCTGAAATGCAGGGGTGTCGTGTAGGTCGGCAGGGATAGCAGCGTTGTTTAGTGATGGACCGGGTGCTAGGTCCCGACTGCTCATTACCGCGGGAGCCAGGAATCTCCATCTGTGTGTCGGTAAGTTGATGACTTAGATGATTACGCTGTAATGAGGGACCCCTTTGCTTTTCTGCCGTCTGGACAGCCTCAAGGAATCAGATTTACTGTGTTCTGGTGGTCCCTGATTGCGCCGCCATTTCAGGGTTTTCCGCTGCTTCCGCCATTTGAGGTGCGGGGAGCCCCCTCAGACCCTGGCATTACAGGCCGCGGAGACAGTCTCCTGGGACTGGGATGCAGGGCAGCTGTCCACCCCACCCACCACTCGGGTAGGCCTCCGGTGTAGCTGTGCTGATGAGCCTTCTCAGGGGTCAAAATGTTTGTAATCCGAGTGGCCTTCAGCTCCAGCACCTCTTTGCCCGTAGGACCGTTGTTGCTTAACTGGAGATGGGTAGATTATTTGCTTTTTTATGATTACTAAGGTTGTTGGTCTGCAGAAGCTCGTCTTGGATGCGACCTCTCGGCATGGTGATCCGGCCTTGGCCCCCCTAGATGCCTAACTTTTATACCAACAGATCATTGAAGCCCATTTTTGTGGAATTATGCATAGGTATGAATGGGACCACATACCAAAACCTTTCCAGACCCAAGCAACTTGTGACTGGGCCCTCTCCAACCCTTCGTTTCTGTAAGTTTTCTTGTAATTGTCCAATTTATTGTCAAATCCCCCCCTCTAATAAAATTGTAAAGTGCTACGGAATCTGTTTGAGCTATATAAATCGCAACTGGGGTGGGCGGAGTAACTGGGTGGAGTGGCTGGAGTAACTGTGGAAAAGTTGGACTGGGCAGAGTAACTGTGTGGAGTGTTTGGAGTGAGTAAAGATAGTAAACATTACACTAACCAATTGATTGATCAAATTTAAAAGTGCACATGGCAAGCTTGATAGAGTGAGAAATGCATTTCAACTTTTATTTATATAGCACATTTAATTGCAATGTTGTTGCCCTAAGTGCTTCACATTTACATTAAAACATACATTTATAAAACCATTAGCAGGTGTACAAAAGGCCTTGTCTATGACATCACTTGCTGCTCCAGCCTGGCACAGGTCAGAGTATTTTGGCGGTTGCCATCTTCAAAAGGTCGTGTTTTACAAACTATAAATCCTACAGCGAAGAGCTTTATATTGTGAGAATCACAAGACCCAGACCTACATTTTGCTGCATAGTATATCTCATAGTATATATTAACAATGAAGGCACAGTCGCAGTTTAGAAATTGCCCTTCAAATTTGAACTGGCTAGAGTGGAGTTTCAATGAATGTCAATGGACGGCGTGAGTTGCAAACAATTGGTCATATTGTAAAAACTATCAGGACTATGGCTTAACTGTCGACATTTTTATTGACGTTTATTAACGTTTTGATATAAGATTTGTGTAGGTGGGCTTGAAAATGAGGGAATGGTGGCAGTTTAGAAATCATGTCCTGATTTTTCAGCTTTTGCCAGCTCCCACTCTAGTTTTGAACATTTTGCCATTCATTCCTATGGGACCAATTTTGCCACAAGAACGACGATATTCCATGAACCATTCAGCGAAATGTTCCACAAAGTAATAGCAATCCAATCGGGAACAATACGCACGTTTCGGTATATTTCGGTCTATGTAGTGTAAAAACTGTGGGAGGAGTTAGGGTGGTAAATTTGGCTATAATAAGAATAATATATTTGTTAGATAACATTAAGTGGTCTTGCTATGCAAGAACACTTAATAATAATAAATGGTCTGCTTTGTCCTACCACCACGTCTCCTATACCTAGTAGCATAGTTGTGGGCCCTGGCCAAGTCTGCTACAAGATAAATATAGTACTGTTCACAACAACTCTAACAGAAGATCAGTCTGGGGTTCCGCGCAGTGTTTTGTCTTGGGGTCAGATATAGCAATAATGCCAACTGTATTTTCCAAACTAATCTACCGCACTATACTTTAAGAATTAACTGGTTGAACTGCTGTGATCATGAAACTTGTATTATTATATTTTTGGGGGAATGTTTTCTTACAAGCATTTCACACTACCAACCAAGTCATGGTTGATCGTGAGTGGCAATAAATTGAAGATGTATTACTAGCTCTTCTCTATTTCTAAGGGTATTAATATACTGTATTAATAGCATTGGAAAGAATTATATATATATATATACATGTATATATATACGCAGAACATCAAGGGTTGGATGCCCAGCAAATACCATCAGCTGTTGACCATTTAACATCAATAACACTGTACGGATTTACTTTGCATTTGTGAAGCAAGAAGAATAAGTCTGTTTCATAAGAAAATAAAGGAATTCATTTTTATTTATACAGTGATTTATCTGCCATGCTAACTTGGATGTCTTCATTTAAATCCAATATTAACTGCAGCATAGAAGTATGAAATGTTTTCATGGTTATGAAATGTTTTATTGACATTTTGAAGACAGAATATGTTTTGCAATATACAAAAAGAAACACTCACAAATGTAATTTTTTGCCCTGTTTTTAACTATTTATTTGTTACAACCCCAAAGAAAATACGCATCTATTTTTTTCCTGTCTGCTTTCTAGGTAATATATGAAAACCTGCCAGCCTCTGCAAGCCCCTCTTTTCCTGTCACAGACTGAAAGTCAATATGCCAGTCAGAATCTTCTTATTGAGGAGCGCAAACAATCACAGCTTTCCAATGCTTATCAATGAGCTGTACAACAAGAATTAAAGGCAGCCATACTCTGGCCAAAATCATTGGTCGCATCTGGAAGCAGAAGAAAACTAGGGAAGCGTTTTTAGCCCAAGTTATAAAAGTGCTGATAGACTCCAGACACAAAGAAATTCAGCAAGTTGAAGTGCTTTATGCATTTGGAGTGTTCCTTTAAAAATATTTAGTGATATGTATTTGTGCATTTTATGTTTCTGTTATTACTTATACAACTACACAATAAAAATGTGAATAAAACAGATGAAAAACAAACAAAACATAACATTTTCTTAGGAACTTACATTGATTTTCAAACATGAGGACCTGCATGCCATAGAGGGAAAATGACTGTCGAAAACTATAAGTTACAGAATTCTTTTTCTTCTGGAAGATTTTTGTAACCTTTAAAAAAAAAAACAGAAAAAAGACAATAACACTTTGTTAACAATTAATTCTGATTCTAATTCAAATGAGAAAAAAAAAATCAAGAAAGATAGTTCTGAAAATGCTTAAAGCGACAGTATTAAAGTCTGTTTCAAATTGTATATTTATTTTATGCTAAGCAAAATTCATCTTTCCTTAGAATATTTAATTTTATATTTCACCATTGGTTAAGGGAGAGTTCAGCCTTTCTCTCCGCGTGCATACTAACTAGGTTATCTTGTGTATTTTATTTACCAGTGTAGATGATGGAAGAATGTAGCAAAAGTCTATCTCCTTTAGAACATTGGAATATGTATAAGACATGATGTGTTTAGTACCTTGGTCTATATGGCAGGGAGACAGGAGGCATTTTGAGATATTTATTATTAGGAATCTTACTATTACCAGCTAGTTTTACTCGCCTCGCTCCCTAGATCTTACATGGGTTTAGCTTCTGAGAGTGCAGTTTTCTAACTTTCAAACATAATTTGACTGTAAGCAGTATATTTCTAATTCCGTGTCTGTGAGTTTGCTCTGCTTGTAGTTTGAATCATAGATGATGATAGTGGCAATTTATACATGCAGATGTTCTTCAACATTACTGAGGCCCTGGGAACTCTTCTGTTTATTGGCCACTCCACAGAAAATGGAATTTGTGGAATATTTAGCAAAACCACATCATTCTACACAAAGGATCTTGTGCAACAGTTAGGAGATGCAGTAACAAGTGACATATTCCCAGTTTTATAGACACATTCAAACACAAGTCATAGTTTTACAGATATAATCTCAAAAATTCTTGCACACCCATTAAATCGGGCCTGTCCAACCTGCGGCCCCCAGATGTTGCTGAACTACAACTCCCATGATTCTTTCAATTAAACAGATAGCCCGGGAATCATGGGAGTTGTAGTTTAGCTACATCTGGGGGGCCGCAGGTTGGACAGCCCTGCATTAACCCCTTAAGGACACATGACGTGTGACATTTAATTCTATTCCAGAAGTTTGGTCCTTAAGGGGTTAAATCTTACATGCACAATCAGACACCTTTTTACAGTTTAAAGAATCCTATAGAAACTTTAAGAAACAGACACATACAAAAAAAAAATACATGCTTTCACAAAATTGCCACATTGTAACTGGCAGACTCCAAAAGAGCAACATGTATGTATGCTGTGGAGATAATGCAACCAGGAATGGAGTGCTAAAATTAGTCTTGAGCAGTTACAACACACAGGAGCCCACTTTAAAACCTTCATTGATTGTTAATAAAGTAAAGTTATTATGAAACATGTAGACTGTAAGAGTCTGACGATTGTCTCTGTTTGTACCTGGCACTGTGTAAGATGCTGGAGCATTCAGATTCTATTTTAAAACTCACCAATGGATAAATAAAGTCTTAAGTAGCTAAAATACACATAATTGCCATGGTTATAAAAAATGAAAAACAAAACATTTTTGTCAACAGTTTTGGCAATGATAAAGTGCATATATTATGCAAATGATATATATCATATTATTATTATGATATTTATAGAGCGCCGTCAAATTCCGCAACACTTTACAATGGGTGGACGAACAGACATGTAGTTGTAACCAGACAAGTTGGACAAACAGGAACAGAAGGGTTGAGGGCCCTGCTCAATGAGCTTACATGCTAGAGGGAGTGGGGTAAAATGACACAAAAAGGTAAGGATAGTATTAGGCTAGTGACAGTTGCAGAAGAGGAATCAGTCGGGAGCTATTAACAGTTTAATTGATACGCTTTTATGAAGAAGTGGGTTTTTATCGATTTTTTGAATGGGTGGAGACTGGGTGAGCATCTAACGGAGGAGGGAAGCGAGTTCCACAGGACCAGTGCAGCCCTCAAGAAATCTTGAAGGTGAGCATCAGAGGTGGGAGTAAGGACAGAAGATAGACGTAAGTCTTCAGCAGATCGTAAGGGCCTAGACGGGACATAAGGGAGGATAGATAGGTGGGAGCAGCATTATGTAAAGATTTGAAAGCAAGAACCAGAATTTTAAATTAAGCTCTATATTTTATAGGAAGCCAATGTTGGGACTGACAGAAGGGTGAAGCATGGGAGGTGCGGGCGGACAGGAAGATGAGCCTCACCGCCACATTCATTATGGACTGTAATGGCGCTAGTTGGGAGCACGTAAGACCACTGAGAAGCGGATTACAGTAGTCAAGGCGAGAAAGGACAGTGGAATGGACCAACACTTTAGTCGCATCTGGCGTTAAGTAGGGGCGGATGCGCGCAATGTTTTTGAGATGGAAATGACAGGATTTGCGATAGATTGAACATGAGGCTTGAAGGAGAGGTCGAAGTCAAAGAGAACACCTAGGCAGCGAGCCTGCATGGTGGAGCTGATGGTAGCACCGTTGACTTAGAGGGAGACAGACACAGGAGTAACAACACTTGAGGGAGGAAAGACCAGAATTTCAGTTTTGGTCAAGTTACGTTTAAGGAAGTGGGCAGCCATCCAGTTAGAAACAGCAGAGAGGCAGTCAGAGACACTAGTCAAGAGGGACGGGGAGAGATCAGGAGAGGACAGGTAGATTTGCGTGTCATCCGCATAGAAATGATATTGTGATCATATCACTTTATCATTGCCAGTTTTGGTAATGATAAAGTGCAAACAAATGTTGTCCAGCTTACGAAAAGTAATTCAAAATAAATAAATTTATGTGTCTTTAGAGAGTACATAATATGTGCAGGATTTCAGTTTATTTTAGAAGTTGCAGGTTACAAAGCACAATGACTAAAATAAAATTTCAATGTGAAATAATTTTGGAAGTTGGCATGTTTGTCTTATAAGTTTAATAGCCACAACAGGATTTCCACACAAAAGTATATATTTATATAAAGTAGACATCACATGATATTTACCAAAGGTTATTTTAACACTTTATATGTAGCAATTTCACTGTCAATCTCTGCTAAATATTGTAGTGAAAGTTTTTTTACTGTTTTTTGGCATACACAAATTTAACAAGTTTATTATTTTTTTAAATGTGTATTTCATAAAGCTAGTGTGTACTAATCCTGTTCAAATCCCCATATTGTGTTCAGCTACATCCGATGAGTACAACAATATATGCCTTTGCCACTCTTCTGTAAAGCTACAAAGCCATATAAGAGACCAGGCTATTTCAGTTTCTATAGTTAGAATTTTCACAGATGGATTTGATGGGCTTATGTCTGCTTTTGTGGCATTATAGCAGTTTGACTTTTCAAATAACTCCACAAAGGACATGCTTTCACCAATTTATGTCAAAGTTTGTGGTGAGAATTTTTTTTACATCGATGTTGCATTTTTTGCTGGGTATTTTGTACATTTGATATGTACCACTGTTATAAAATCCCCCAAATTATGCTCAGTTACATCTTCTGAGTAAAACAATATGTCCAATGTATGACATCGACAATATTTTCTGAAGTTACAGTGCTGTAAAAGAGATGTAACATTTCAGGTTTTCAACTGTGAATTTTCATAGATGGTTTTAATGGGTCCGTGTTTCATTCCGAAGCATTTTAGCAGGTTGCTTATTCAAAGACCCCTAAAAGGCATACCATTTCTTAAGGAAGTACCCAGGGTATTTCAAAATATATATTTTCTGAACCTTAATGGGGGGGAATTTTTACACTAGCTTGTACTAAGAGTAGTGGTAATAAGCTTTGTTTCTGCATTTTTGACACACACAGTGAGTTTGTACTATCTATCTTGCGAACATTAGGTGTGTTACGGCAGTATAATACTTCATATGTTGCTCAGCTATGTCATCTGAGTAAAGCAATACCCACATGTGTACCTTTGCCAGGTATATGTGGACATTGAAGATGCACATTTGAGACACAGCGATTAAAGAGTTTTTTTAAACTTTGAAATTTCCATGTCCTTTTTGGAATATTTTAGCAGGTTACTTTTTTAAACTACACCACAAAGGCATACCATTTCTTAGGTGTTTCAAAAGGGATATTTTAAACCCTAGCATGGGGTTATTTTTTTTTTTTTTTTTGCTAGCTTGTACCAAATGTAGAGGTAATAAGCATTTTTTCCGATTAAAAAAAAAATATATATATATATATATATATTTTTTTTTACTGTTAACCCCTAACTAACCTATCAGTAAATCCCCCAATTGCCCCACTAACTTCTACCTACCCTAGCTAAATAAATAATTCACAAATATTTAAATAACTATTTATGTAAATTTAACCCTTGAGGGTTAAAAAAATAATATAAAAGGTAACACTTAGAGGTTAAAAAAAATCAGATTACAGTGAAATACTCTAATCTGTATTTGATCACTGCAGGCAGACTGTAGCAGCATTAACCCCACGATTGCCGCAATTGCGGCAATCTGGGGTTAACTTTAGTAAAAGACTGAAATTCTCCTTCATGTGTCCTTAAGGGTAGGGCGGCAATGACGGAAAATTTCTGTCTTGCGTCGCGAAGGAGTTAACAAAATTAATGTTTATATAATAAAAAAAAACAAATACAAGTGTACTAAGTGAATTATCAATCTCTGTGTTACCACACTAGGAGATACAGAAACTAGAAAGAGATTATTAGACTTAGTCGTAAACGAGTTTGCATTTGGTGTAACCAGGTTGATTTGTCGAAGTGCCAATTGTACTTTTCATGGAATGAGAGACAGAGAGGACACACTCTTCACACGTAAAACTTTTACGCAGGCTAGAGAGGTTTTGGGGGTCTGTAGTGTAATTTTGAGCCACCCCCCATGACCACATGGTTTTTAATTTCTATGGTAACCTATTTTAGGATCTCCCCTACTCAGTTTGTTAATTGACAGAACCTCCTTTGTGTATCCATTGTGCTTAGGTTTATTTTCTCCTATAAGGAATAAGTTGACAACCATCTGTAAATGAACTGGTACTTTAAAGTACCAGTCTACCTACTATATAAAATGTTGTTTACCACATCAATACCCCAAGATAACTTTATACCAGTTAGTGCTTTTATTGTTCTACACATGGTTTGCAAAAACAAATAAATATATGTTAATACATATATTAATTTAATTTCTCAAAACTTGTAGATTATTCTTCATTTTTATTTTCATTTTATTTCACTTTTATTTGTATTTATTATTTGTACACAAAACAATAAAGGAAGTGGAATATTTGGTTTACTACTGTTCAGATACTTTTGTTAACAAATTTAAATAAAAAAACAAAACAAAATGCTGTTGGGGAAAAATTCCAATAAAATTGACCTAACTGTGACCACATTGACAATTCTAATACTTGCACAAAACACTTGCATATCACTTCCCTCCCCGATTTGGAACACTATCATGACACTGTTGAGGGGACATGACAGACCGGTGCTCTGGTATCACAAACAAGTGTGGTTCTCTGTTCAGAGATCTACATAAATTTCCCCCACCATAGGACCAATGTTACCTTTAACACACAGTAAGAGCCTAGAGACTTGCAATTTCTAGGGCACGAACTGTATGTTCCCATCAGCCAAATACTGCATGCAGGAACTATGCAGCATGGATGAACTGGTGGATTCAACAGTAATATTACAGGGATCTAACAGCCATGGAAATATATCAATATCTAGAAATTCAACACCTTTACCAAGGCATTCTTTAATAGGGAGAAAGTGCACAAGGATGCAGTCTGGTTTGAAACTCTGTGTGTGGAGACGTTGGAATGGAGAGGGTTATCTAAATATTATAAACCACTTTCTCATCTAATCAATGGGATAAAGTTCTTATTATGCACCAGAGCTCTGTGAGCTTGCCGTATCAGGAAGTCACTACAAGTTTTACTCTCAAAGCAAACTGACACCATAATGTGAATGTAGTGATTAACAAGTATATAATATACTTATCTATTGAATTAAAAGGGACAGCCTCCCAAAGATCATGTCCCAGAAAATTATAATATAATTCATACGATCTTATATGTGATTATT